TCTACTCTACTCTACTCTACTCTACTCTACTCTACTCTACAGCACCTGTAGGCCAGACAAGGAATAATGGATGGCAACTGAGAGATTCAACCTGGAAATAAGGACAAATTTTCTGACAGTGAGAACAATCAATCCATGGAACAGAAGTTGCCCTCAGTAGTTGTGGGAACTTCATCACTGGAGGTTTTCAAGAAGAGATTGGACTGCCATCTGTCAGAAAAGGTGTCGGGTTGCCTGCTTGGATGTGGGATTGGATTAGATGACCTACAACGTCCCTTCTAACTCTGATTGTCTGTTATCTGTTATTTGCTTCTCTCCTTGATTAGTTTCCATCCATTGTTTCTTGTGTGGCCTTCAGGTGCTTTGTAAAATAAGATGACCCCTTCCTCAAATATTGGAATACTGCTATTATGTCCCCCCTATCTAAGACACTGAGCTTGTCGATCAGTTTGGCAGTTCAAATCTCCAGTGCCGTGTCACGGAGTGAGCTCCCGTTACTGGTCCCAGCAGCTTCTGCCAACCTAGCAGTTTGAAAGCAGGTAAAAAAATGCAAGTAGGAAAATAGGGACCCCTTTAGTGGGAAGGGAACAGCGTTCTGTGTGCCTTCGAAGGCATTTAGTCCTGCTGGCCACATGACCACGGAGATGTCAGCACCCCCTAGAGCCAGAAATGAATAGCACGGATGTGCGAGGAGGGGAACCTTTAACCTTTCCCTAGTCCTTTTCTTTAGACTGGCCAAACCCAAATCCTGCAGCCGTTCTTCATATGTTTTGGTCTCCAGGAGGGACACAAGGGAAGAAAAGGAAGCAAACAATATAGTGGGAGGTTTTTTTTTAAATCTCCCTGTTCAAAAAAGGGCAGATCCTTTGCGACAAAACTTACGGCTGAGTGAAGTCACGAGTGATGAAATCCGAACTTTTCAAAAGCAGGAAAATATCACTGAGGCTGTTGCATTTCAGGGAATTATTCATGGCGATCCAGTAGGCGTCCTAAAGAAAACAGATTAATTGTCCAATTTCTTCTGAAGTCTCTGTTCTGCATGGCAATAACTCATTCAGGAGGTTGCAGAAGCTAAACTTTTAAACTTTCCCCTAAATCTTTTTAACACCCCGCTGAAAATGTACAATGCTTTGTTCAAGTTGATTTATGCTGGTTTGTAGGGTAAATTGGGATTTTAGCAGATTACCACAGCGGGGTCCTTTTAAACCACACAATTTATAGAATCCTTGCTGCATTATCCATCTAAATTCCGTTTCTTTTAATGTTGGGCAGAGGGAGAACTTTTGCAAAGGAAAGGCCTAAAACTTCAAATGTCTGTTTCAAAATTCAGAACAGAAACTTAAAATGTGTGCTTCAAAATTCAGAACTTAAAACTGAAAATGTCTGCTTCAAAATTCAGAACTTAAAACTTAAAATGTCTACTTCAAAATTCAGAACTTAAAAATGCTTCAAAATTCAAAACTTAAAACTGAAAATGTCTGCTTCAAAATTCAGAACCATTCTTCTCCAAGGAACCTTCCTGAACAGTTGAGATGCATCTTCTCAAAGATGCTTAAATACAGATGGTCCTTGACTTACGACCACAATTGAGCCCAAAACTTTTGTTACTAAGTGAGTTTTGCCCGATTTCTCCACCTTTCTTGTGCCAGCATGGCTAAGTGAATCCATGAAGTTGTTAAGTGAGTCACACAGTTGTTAAATGAATCTGGCTTCCCCATTGACTTGGTCATAAATCGAACACTATCTGTTACCATCTAAAAATGAAGTCTCATGTTGGAGATGCTATCATCCTCACAAAAATTAATATAATAATAGGGACAGCCTGGTAGGTTTTTCTTCTCAAGGGCTGAATAAATCTTGACTGAGAATCTGAACAGAAATTGCAATGCGATATTTGATTCTGTCTCCCTCAATTCTCAAAGACACGAGAAACTAAAACAGCAGATTAAAACTGCAGATTAAACTACTGTTTAATCTGCAGTTCTAATCTGCAGTTTTCTAAAACTGCAGATTAAATGAAATAACATTTTTTTTAAAAAAAGGCCCTGGGATGCTTGAAGTCATGAAGCTGAACTTCGTCCCAAAAGTCAGAACTGGAAAAGCTTCTTGGACGAGAAGTGAAACTTTTCAAGGGAAAAAAAAAAACCAAGAAAGTCATAAAGCGAAATTCTAATTTGCAGGGAAACGTTTCCGGGAATTGTAAATTTGCCCTTAAATTCAATTCAAATTACCCTTGGAGCGCTCCAATTAAGCTTCGGGAAAACGCTGCCTCCCAAGGAATGGATGGCCTCTTCAACTTTAAGGGAAAATTCAGGAAATTCTGGTGCCTGGAAGACCACAAAAGACAAACTGTTTCTAGAAACAAAAACTAACGCGAACAGTATTCCAGGAGAAATAATGTTGTATTGCAATGGTTGCATGCAAGCCAAATGTTTACAAAAACAGAACAAACTCAGCATGGATACTTTAAACAAATTAGGATCTCAACAAACATCCTCAAAATATTTGCAATATTTGGATTTGAAAAATCTGGATTTTTTTTTAAATACTTTTTATTGAATTTTTACACTTTTAAAAACAAATCAATATACAATTTTTGCAGTAAATTGTGGCATCAATTTTTCCATTTATATTTACACACAGACACACACACACACACACACACACACACATATACACATACATACAGACATACATACATCATTTACATTTTGTATTGTCTTTTGTTCCTGTTATCTAACCAAACATACCATTTTCCCCAGACCGTATAGTATTCTTTTTCTTCCTTCTCCTGCAATTCCATTATAAGTTTATTCATTTCTGCACAATCCATAATTTTCTTTATAATTATATTATCTGTGGGACTACTCTCTAATTTCTAATTTTGGGCATACGTTATTCTAGCTGCTGTCAGTATATGTATTATTATATATTCAATGTCTTTCTTCTATTCACCTCTGATTATCCCTAATAAGAACATTTCAGGCTTAAGTTCTATTTTTAAACCAATTATTTCTGGATATTTAGAAGTTTAGCAGAACTAATGTGCAATTAATCTGACTGAAGGGTCCTTGAGGCTCCCTGAGCTTGGCGGTTTTCTTGCAGACGTTTCATTATCAAAACTACATAACAACATCAGCACTGATGATGTTACCTAGTTGGATCATGAAATGTCTGCAAGGAAACCACCAAGCTCAAGGAGATACCAAGGACCGCGCATTTCAAACCCTGAACTACAGATTAACCTGATTGCTAAATAGCCATGATGGACATTGGATGTTGCAATGGATTTCTCGCAATGTTTTAAAACACACTACTACTCAAGTTTGATCACTATGTCCGATGTTTACTTCACATTTTCTTTGAAATACACTTGTCTGCTTTAGGAACGACTTGGAGGTCAGCTTTAATTTCTAACTTAGGAAAAAAGTTCATTGCCTGATAAAACCCAAGAAAAACTGGTTTGGCATTTGCTGTCCTTTAACTCAAGACTTCTTAGGTAATTTAGATCTCTTGCAATTAGACACAAGGACAGTTTTTTCCCCCACATGCCATCCCTCTGCTAAACTACTCATTCCCACAACACTGTCAAACTATTTACTGTATTACTACTATTCTTCTCATCCTTCCTATTACCTACCTCCTTTCTACTTATGACTATAGCCTTATTGCTTGTATCTTTACGATTCATATTGTTTTATTTAGTTTCCTAGTATGAATTGGATTGCTTATTTAGTATCCTAGGACTATCACTAAGTGTTGTATCTTATGATTCATGATGAATGTTTTTATGATGACTATGATGATTTATCACATTACTGAGAGCTTATGCACTGAAGACAAATTCCTCGTGTGTCCAATCAGACATGGCCAATAATGAATTCTATTCTATTTTTATTTATTTCTATTTCTACTCCTATTCCACATTCTAGTGTGTTCTATTCTATTCTCTATATTCTATATTCTACATTCTATTCTATTCTATTCTATTCTATTCTATTCTATTCTATTCTATTCTATTCTATTCTATTCTATTCTATTCTATTCTATTCTACATATTTTACATTCTATTCTGTTCCGTTCTCTATGTTCTATTCTACTCTATTCAAAAAATAATTGAATACAGAGGGACTTACCGTAAGGGTTGCCGTATTTTCATCATCAGACCACTGAAAAAAAAGGAGACCAGAAATGAGTTACTTTTGATTGGGATGCAACTACTGACAGTGGTTTAACTGTGGCTAACCAATAAACATAATGGTGAATAGGTTCAAATGTTTATGGGCAACTGGATTTTTCTTTATTTTTTTTCTCTTGAAGAGACATTTCGTTTCTCACTGAAGAAGGTCTCACTTGATGCGACCCACACCTGACCCATTACAAGACTCTCACCTGATGGGAACATCACCTGGCATGAACCTCCCCATCACAAGAAAAAAAAAGGAATAGTTACAGTATCACGGTTTTTACAAACCACAGCTTCTTCTGTCTCTTCCTCATCGCCTCCATCTTGGGTTATGGTTTGGGGATCTTCTCTAAAAAACAAACCAGAAGAGGAAACATTTGATGATCAAAGTCTTAACTGATTATTATGATAACCTTTTATAACATTTAAGGCTGGGGAAAAACATCTTTAAAAGCAAACCACTCATGGGGGAAAACCTCAAGATGAAAGATCATTCTGCTTTGGTCAATTTAATAGTATTTTTCCAATTAGAATAGAATACTTTCTTGGCCAAGTGTGATTGGACACACAAGGAATTTATTTTTGGTGCAAAATGCTCTCGGTGTACATAAGAAAAAAAATGAAATACATTCATCAAGAATCATAAGATACAACACCTAGTGATAGAATAGAAATAGAAATAGAATAGAATAAAATAGAATAGAAGAATAGAAACAGAAACAGAAACAAGAATAGAATAGAAATAGAATAGAATAAAATAGAATAGAAGAATAGAAGAATAGAAGAATAGAAGAATAGAAATAGAAATAGAAATAGAAATAGAAATAGAATAGAATAGAATAGAATAGAATAGAATAGAATAGAATAGAATAGAATAGAATAGAATTCTTTATTGGCCAAGTGTGATTGGACCC